TCCTCTCCGCCCTTGACTTCTAGAACTGGCCACGGTCCTCTATATGCGGGCAGTAACTTCTGCGAGATGTTTTCCTCAGGTGCAAACTCTTTAGCTTTGACCCAGACTAACTCGCCTACCTGAAACTGCGATGGGCTGCGGTGCTTATTAGCTTGTTCTATCATCCTATACTGGGCCTTCATGAGGTTTTCAACAACAGTTGGTAATTCTTTCTCGTGCTGTATCGCAAACTCCCTGGTACCTGGCGGTAATCTGTGAATCTGATCCCGGTTCAGTCCTTCGAACGGTCTGCGTGGTCTAAAGGACTTGTGCAACTCATTGGGAGTGCGGCAGGTGGATAGATGCACGCTGTTGTTGTATGCACTAGCTACCTTAGGCAACATCTCATCCCAGTTAATCTGATCTGGTCTAATGTACATGCGCGGAACTTGCTGTAGGATCTTGTTCATCTGTTCTATCTGACCGTTAGTCTTTGGGTGACGGCCAGATGACATTAACAACTTAGATCCGTAAACTCTCATGAGTTCTTGCCAGTTCTGGCTGGTGAAACGACTATCTCTATCACTAATTATTGACAATGGGATTCCATTCTCACTAACCCAAAAGTCAAAAAACTTCTGTATCACTAAGTCCGTACGTGCCTTTGCAGGCAAAGAAACGAAGACTGCATATTTGCTCAAGCGGTCAACTGCTACCATGACTTGGCTCTTACCATGTCTACTCTTCACTTGGGTGTCCATGAAGTCTATGGACACAGAGTCTCCCGACTGATCCAGAATAGGCAAGGGTCTGAGAAGACCTAGGGGCGCGCGTGTAGTAGACTTATTCCTCTGGCACACTTTACAACTGCGGATATACTCTATGCAGTCATTCTTCATCCCTGGCCAGGTATACGCACGCATCAGGTTGGCTAATGTCTTTTGCCAACCGAAATGCCCTTCAGTATCGTGGCATTCCCCTAAAATCAAACTGCGGATCTCTTCGCTATTGGGAACTCACAGGCGGTCAAACACATTAGTCTTCTCRAACAGCAACCCGTCTGTAGTGCGGTAATCTGGTTCAGTCTCTGGGGCCTCTCTAACTCTCTTTAGGAGGTCGCTATAGATAGGGTCTTGCGCATATGCTTGCCTCACTTTCTCCTGCAGGTCTCTCCCTATATCTAGATAGTGTACTACGGCTCCAAAGTAGTTTGATCTTCTACTCAGAGCATCCGCAACTACGTTGTATTTTCCCTTCACTGGCTTGAGCTCAAAGTCGAATTGGTCTATCTCTGCGGCCCACCTAGTCAACTTAGGTGTCATCTTGGCCTGTGTCTTTAACCAACGAAGTGTCTCGTGGTCAGAATACACTTTGAAGTGCCTCCCAAGCAGATAGTGCTTCCAATGGTCTAAAGCCTGCCTGAGAGCGTAGAGTTCTCTCTCGTACGTGGAGGTAGCRACCTTCTCACAGGGCATCCTTGCTGACATGAACTCTACGGGTCTATAGCCATTGTCGTCGTCTTGTTGCAACACGGCACCTATCCCATACTGACTTGCGTCCGTGGTAACAACAAATGGCAAGGACGGATCTGCTACTTTGAGGACGGGATATTCTATTAACGCGCGCTTTAAGCCTTTAACTTCTTGAGCACAGACGTACAGTCTTTGCCCCATTGCCAGATTGCCTCTTTCTTTAGCAGTCTGCGCAAGGGGGCGGCGACAGTGGAGAAGTTCCTCACGAACTTCCTATAGTAGTTAGCTAGACCTAGGAACGACCGCAACTCTGTCAATGTGCAGGGCGTCGGCCAGTCTCTAATCGCTGCTATCTTGCTGTCCTCTGGCTTAATGCCATCTCCGTCCAACACGTGGCCCAAATACAAAACTTGTGTCTTGGCCCACTCACACTTCTTTGCGTTGATCTTGAAGTTCGCCTCTCGTAGTTTTTCCAAGACCTGCCTTAGATGACCCTGGTGCTCCTGGAGGGTCTTACTAAAAACGAGGATATCATCTAGATAGACCACTACAAACTTATCTAACCACGGTCTAAACAGGTCATTCATACAACGCTGGAAGGTAGTTGGTGCGTTGGTAGTCCAAAGGGCATCACTATGAACTCATAGTGCCCGTATCTAGTCCGGAACGCAATCTTGTACTGGTCATCAGGATGGACTTCTATCTGATGGTATCTGGACTTCAAGTCTATTTTGGAGAAATACTTGCAACCTTGCACCCGATCTAAAAGATCGTCTATCCTGGGCAGCGGCTCAGCATTCTTCACTGTGATCGCATTCAAACCCTTATAGTCTATACACATACAGAGTTCTCCCTCCTTCTTTGGGACAAACAAAATTGGTGCTCCAAAAGGAGACGAACTGGGCCTGATCCAACCTTTCTCAAGGAGTTCGTCTAACTGCTTGCGAAGATCCTCTAACTCTCTAGGGGACATCCTGTAGACTGCACCCTTAGGAGTTCTACTGCCAGGCTCTATCTCTATCCTGTGCTGGATGGGTCACGACACTACTCCTGTCGGTGACTCAGTCAAGTCCTTGAATTCTTCTAGCAGCTTGGCAATTGTTGGATCTGTGGAACTGTCGTTTTCGTGAACCTCAGTGACAGGTCTAACATAAACTACAAAGACCTGGTCTTCTAACTGCTCCTTTTTTACTAATCGAGCGAACGCGGGAGCACTGAGACAGCAATGTGCCAAGGTGTTATCTACACCAGACACATGGAACAGGCGGGCAGTCTTAACTTCGCCTGCCGGGCTAGGGAGCCTACACTCATGCTCTCTCAAATGAAGTGTGGCCCCTGCCGCCTCTCCCCAATCCATTCCTAACACTATATCAAAAGGAAGGTCATCTTGTACGAGGAGAGTCCGGGAATGGAGAACTTTCTCCACTTTCCCATCCTTCTCTAGGCGAAAATACGCCTGGACTCCCTCTACATAGTCCTCAACTCGCATCGTGCGGTTGTCTGCGAGGACACTGACTATGGGGTCTACTAACTTCTGGACTTTTAGTCCTAGCCTCAGCTTCTTCAGCGCCCTACGGCTAATATAACTACGGGTAGCCCCTGAGTCTATGAGGGCCCCTACTCTACTTCTAAAATTCCTACATCTACCAAAATCAGTTGTCCTCTACTCTCCTTTTTCATTTTGGCCCAGGCTGGCATCCTCTCCTTTAACTCTTCTGCCACACCTGTGAGGGACGTGCCTAAAGAGACGCTAACACAGGCGGTCTCTGGACAGCTATCTAGGCACGGGTCTGCAACCTCTGCCATAGGCTCACATGGGTTGGGAGTGTCCTGTTCGCGCGCGCTCACTTCTCCACATGGCCTTAAAGTAGGGGCAGTTGCAACCCCTACTGGCGGCTGCCTTTTGACTGCTGGGCAGCCCAACGGGCCTGTCTATACTT